TAACTGAAATTACCAGTCAGATCTCTCCCTTTATCTTTAATTCCATTCAACTGAAACTGTCAAAACCATATAGAACATTCAAGTATTCCACATGTTTTACTTCTAAGGATATTTTAAAAGGCAAAGCAACTCCCAACATTTCAACCCACTTCTTTCCCTAAACCAACCAGAGAAAATCTAGAATCAAACAGAGATTCTCAATACAGATCCTGTAAAGTCTTAGAACCCCTCCAATTGTTACAAAACTCAAAAATATTACTTTTAATTAACAAACTTTGCCATGAATCTTCTTAGCCATGGGGACATGATGAGAAGATGGAGAGGAAAAAGAACTAAAGAACCAAAGCCTGGCACCGTGGCACATGTCTGTAGTCCCAGCTACTAGGGACGCTGAAGCAGGAGGATCACTTAAGCCTAGGAGTCTGAGACCAGCCTGGGTGATAAAGTGAGACCTTGTCTCAAAAGAAAGGAAAGAAAGAAAGAAAGAAAGAAAGAAAAGAAAGAAAAGAAAGAAAAAGAAAGAAAGAAAGGAAGAAAGAAAGACAAAGAAAGCAAAGAAAAGAAAGAGAAAGAAAAGAAACAAAGGAAAGAAAGAAAGAAACTAAAGAATCAAACCAGCAGTTATGTATTATAGCCTCAATCATGATTAACATAAAACAAATTCCTCAATTCTTCCAGTAATAAAAGTTAGTCATATGATACACAGAGATGGACAGAACTTGTGGTCATAAGGGGAACCCCAATCCTTAGCTGGGAACAAGAGGTTTTCTCCCCATTTCCCCACCCCTTAAAAAATTTATATTTACAGTACTCTAGGGGTAGGTGCTGAGAATTCAGCAAAAGTATATCTGAAGTCTAAACAAACACATTCGAATACATTAAACTTTTAGTTAGCAATTTATTAGCTATGTAACCTTGGGCAAATTTCTTAATATCTCTCTGCCTCAGTTTCTTCATATAAAAATGAGGATAAAGACATGACCTAATTATTTTATGATTAACTTACAACAGTGCCTAATACATACTAAATGCTTAATTACTGTCTTTATTATGATTACTTGGCAGTTCATGTCAATACAAGTGGCACAGTACAGTCCCTGGAAGATAAAAAAGTATGAATTTAGAAACTCTGAACTTACAAGAGCCCTAAAACAGTTGGGGACAATTGAGAGAACACAATTATTAGAGGTGAAAAACAACTCTGGAGGGGAAAAAGGGTTACATGGTATTATTTCTCTAATGCACTTTGGTGGCCTCTACAGTATTCTCTTAGTAACAACAATCCAAACCCTCACTAATTCACTGCTTCTAAAACAGAAAAGGTATCATCCTCCAAGATCCCAGTTCTTCACATACTGGATGAGAGAAGCTTTGTTCAGTAATAAAAGCTTCAATTTATGGCTAGTATCATTCAGTGAGTTAATGATGACACAGAAGGATTAGATTACCTACCTACTAGTGATTTCCTTTCCTGTCAATATCAAATCCTCTTCATCCCTCTCTTTAAAGGATAACAAAATGGTAGGCCCATTCTCAGACTTTTTCAAATTCAGATGAGTTGAAAATAAGGTGATGAAAGAAGAACTCCCAGCTAAATACAGAGTTACTCTATGACTCAGCAATTGCACTCTTATGTATAAATCCAAGAGAAATGAAGGCTGGGCATGGTGGCTCACCTGTGATCCTAGCACTCTGGAAAGCCAAGGTGAGAGGATTGCTTGAGGTCAGGAGTTTGAGACCCCATCTCTACTAAAAATAGAAAAAATTAGCCAGGCATGGTGGCGCATGCCTGTAGTCCCAACCACTCAGGAGGCTGAGGCAGCAGGATTGCTTGAGCCCAGGAGTTTTGAGGTTGCTGTGAGTTAGGCTGACACCACCGCACTCTAGCCCCTGCCACAGAGCAAGACTCTGTCTCAAAAAAGAAAGAAAAAAAGGAAATGAAAAAAACATACGTTTACACAAAAACTTGTACACAAATGTTCATAGCAGGTTTATCTACAATAGCCGAAAAGTGAAAACAACCCAAATGTCCATCAACTGATGATTGGATAAATAACATGTGATACATCCATATTCGGCAATAAAAAGAATGAAGTACTGATACATGCTACAACACGGATGAACACTGAAAACATTAT